CGCGATTGGTCTCTCCTTGAATGTGGGGAAATGCTACGTCCTGATCTGCGGGGCGCTGAATGGAGACGCCCTCGCTGCCCACATGGTTCGGAAGGGTAGCCGTTTTGCCTCTGTCCGTTTCGCCTCCAGGGTACTGTACCTCGGATTCTGGGTGGGCCCGTCGGCCCATGAGGTGGCCTGGGTGGAAACGATGAATAAGTTCTGGCAGCGAGTTCGTCTTCTTCGCTCTCTCTCGCTGGGCTTGGCGACCACTATCCGTCTGTTCCACTCGAATTGCCTCTCCGTCTTGCAGTATCGGATTCAGCTGGTGAGGGTCACCCCTTCGGTTCGGCGTCAGTATAGGGAAGCGCTGCAGATCTTAACCGCGGGGCCTCGGCATGCGTTGAATTACAGTCTGCTCACTCAGTTACGTGATCTGGGGATCTCCCTTGAGTTTGTGGACCTGGGGCTGTATGACAAAGCAACGAAGTTTCGGGTAGTGATGCGGTGCAAGGCGTTAGACGATGCTCTTTATGAGTTAGAGGGCTTAGCGAGTGGCTTGACCGATGATGACTTTATCCCTGCTCGGATGTTCTCTGGATGGTGGTGCCATTCGATGATACGCACGACGAATGAGGATGCGGCGGACATTGTGAAGTCTCCCATTGATCGGACAGCCCGTACTATCCAGGCCCAGGTCCATCGTCACTTACGTTCGGTTCGTATGACGGCCACTCCCTTACTGTGTCTGGGCGGGCGGGTATCGAGGTGGTTAGTTGCAGTCTCCCTCGAGGATATGTTCCGTCTGCGGACTAGACTGCGCGCAGTGGAGCGTGCCACGATCACTCATCACGCTACCAACGTTCTCCGCGTACTGTCCAGGGGCGCGTGTACTTCGGCACGTTTTCATGCGAATGACCGTGGCTGCTGCTTTGGTTGTGCGGCCCCTGATGACCTACTCCACTACAATTTCTGTGATCGTTTCCGTGACTTGGCGCTGCACCGTCTCCCTGGCTTGGAGGCCTTACCCACGCCGTGGATGGAGATGTGGCTTCACCGCGATACATGGCTCACATGTCTCTGTCTGGTGGGGCCTTCAAGGGGACTCGGCCGCGACGTTGCCTGCGCCGCCGTCCTCGATGCCTTCCTGAAGACTCATGCTCACCATCGGCGCCAGACTCGGGCCCCCGCTTCCCAGGTCTTCGTTGCTCGATTGCGTCTCCTCGCTCGTCGATATACTGCTGTCGCTCGCCAGTTCAGGGCACGGCGTACGGGGCGGGCTGCCACGTGAAGTGATATCGTCTGAGTGTGACCGCTCCTTCTCCTCTCTCGCGCGTGTGTGCTTGTGCGTCTCTTTGTGTTCCCCTGCTTCTCCTGTCGCTTGCGTCTCTTCCCTCTTTTCCCTGCCCCTGCTGCTGCTTCTCCCCTGTGGGGCGGGCTGCGTTGGGTCCTCGGTTTGTCCCCCGCCCCTGCCTTCCCCTCTTTCCCCTGCCTTTCTTCCTGCCCTCCCCCCCGGTCCTCTTCGCTGCTGCTGCTCCGCTGTGCTGCTGCTGCTGCTGCTGCTGCTGGGGTTGGGTCTTCGCCAGGTTGGGGGAGCGCGCGCGGGGGCGTGCGAGCACCCGCCCCGCCGCTCCCTGCCGCCCCCGCCGCCCGCCCCATCGACGACTTGATCAACTGTGCCCGTTGCGCCTCTCTGGAAGGAAGGATGCGCCCCTCTCACTGTTGCCTAGGCGTTACCTAGGGCCTGGGTTGTTGGTCGAGGTGACGGTGGCCTGGGTCGCAAGCGCCCGTGGCCTGTGGGGCATGGACTCTGTCCTCCCCCGTTGCCGAGTGCGCCCCCCCGCTGCCGAGGACTCTCGAACGGGAGGATCGGTAGCGGGCGGGACTGTCCCGCCCCTCCCCGCGCGCGAGGTACCACGGTACCTCCCGCGAGTCGCCGATGTGCGGCATCATGATGGGCGTTGGCCTCTCGTACCCTTTCCTCCCTCTCCTCCCTCCCTCTCCTTCTGCTGCTGCTGCTCCAGTCTGCTGGCAATCATGGACCGATTTCGGAACTGGAAGGGCGACGTCCGCTGCGGGGAAAAATCATCATCATCATCATCATCATCATCTCATCCTCATCATCATCAGCATACTCATACTCTTCATCATCATCATCACCATGATGGCCAACATCCCCTGCGTAGGAAGGCCGCCTTCTCATCCAGAGGTCGCTGGCAGCGGATGGAGATTTGACGTACCACCGTGACGTGGCACCAGTGAGCTGGCTCGAGGAGGAGGAGGGCACCGGCTGGGGACGCTAGAGTCATGAAATTTTGTGAGAGGCGACTCGCTGCAAGCTAGCATCAGTGCCGTCAGTGGAACATAATGTGTCGCCTCCTCGTCTGCCTCAGCTCCTGTCATGCCAGCGCGTAACGAGCATAATTTATTACACGAGGAGCCCCAAGGATCGCTTCAGCAGACTCGGGACACATCAGTCGAGAATGAGGCCGCCGCTTTCATGTTCGAGCCAGTCTCCTCCACACTATTCCGAGGCAGCGGAGCGAAGCGTCCTTGTGCCAGCACCTTCATGGCCACAGAGCGGGGTAATCCGAGACTTTCAGAAGCACTGCGACGGAGCCGCACTTCTTGTTCACATCTGTAGCCTCTCCAGTTTGGTCCTGACGTCGAAAGAAAACCACAATCATCATCATCATCAGCAGCAGCATCATCATCATCAGCAGCATCACCATCAGCATCATCATCGTCATCTTCATCACCTTCCCCCACCCCCGCAAACACATGTTCCATGCGTCGCTTCACTTCGCGAACTCAAGGTCGTTGCAGTTCGAAGCTTCTTCTCCTCCTCAGCCTCCCTCTTCTACCCTTCACCCCCTCTTCCGTCTCCTCCTCTCCACCCCATCATCTTGCTTTTGTCGCCCCTCCTACTCTTCTTCGCCCCGTGGACTTCAGGCCGTTGTTGTTCGAAGCTTGGTATCTTCGACCGATTGCATAGATTCCATATCCTAGCCCTCGCTGGCCTTGGTGACTCCAGAAGTCCATGAGCGGTGTTTCCCCTTTTCGCAGTGAGATCCTCGTCGAGGAACTGACGGGATGGCCTCTCTGGGGGCAGAAGGGGGAGTTGGATGTGGAGCGGGGGAAGGAGGAGGGGGGGGGCGGCGGAGGGAAGGGCTTGCGGAAAGACCGCGTGAGCCAGTGAAAGTCTTACAGGAACGCGGTTCTCTTGTGGACGCTTGTTTGCTTGCCCGATCAGTCCGCGACCCGGCTGTAGATTCAGGACTCTCCAGGTAGGCACTCGGTAGGATCAGTTTAGTGTGCCAGTGTGGGCACAAGGGGGCCACCATGTGGCACCCCGCACTCGAGTCGAGGCCATCGTGTTTTTTCTTGGGATGGGGCACCGATCGGCCTCGGCCTCTTGGATCACCACCATAGGCTCGTCCACAACCGAAGGAATGGCACTATACGCCTTCCGCCGTTCATTGCCATTTGATTGCGATGATACTTCAGCCTGCCTCCAGGTTTGGAGGCATCAAAGATTCGAGCCACTTGGGGGCGGTCTTCTTGTCGCTACGCCAATCTACCAGGAACGTCGGAGAGTGGTGACCCTAAGGAGCCAGTTGGCTCCACCACTGGAAGGCTAGAGGAGGAGAAGGGGGAGGAGGAGGGGGAGTGGGAGGAGTGAAAGGATTTCGCGGGGGAGAAGGGGGCAGGATGGGGAGGAGGGGGAAGGAAAGGACGAGGAGCAGGAGGGGCGGTATGGGCGTTCTTGTACGGGCCCCTTCTCGGAGGGCGAGGACGTCCGACATTCCTGCTTGCTGAGGTCTCCAGGGCCGGCTGGGGTGCGAAAGTGGTTCTGGGGCCACCCGGAGGGCTTCTTGGCAAGCTCATCCAGTGGAGCATCGGCCCCGGCGAGACTCCCTCGGTTACCTTACAGGCAAGACGCTGAAGTGACGACCATCTTGGGTTCAGGAGCGGCCCTGGCGTTCGGGCCGCTTCTTAGATCCAGGGCAGGAAACATACGCGTGGCCGAGACTTCGCCGCGGCCAGAACATCCCTTCTACACCGTTCTCAGCGCTCCCATGGTACAGTCAACCCGCACAGTAAGGATGGGCAACCTTCTCGAGGGTACCCTGGCATCCTCGCCTCCTCGGTCCTTCCTTGGTCACTTTCGTGGACCGCGCCTCGCCCAAAAGGCTTCGCAAGGGCCTTCTCAGGCCCTTGCGTCTTTGTCGTGCACCCTTATGACACGATGTCTGTGCTCCGCACCTCGCCGGGTGGTTACCCTACCCCGCTCCCTGCCCTAGCATAGGGCGAGACCCCTGTCGTGCCTGACCTCCGTGTGGAGCGGCGCCTCGTCTCGCCCCTTGCCTTCCCATGGAGCGAGATTCCTCGCCCCAGTGTTACGTTTCAGTCCGGCATGCCCCCCTAGAGGAGGAAAACTCAAAAATAGTCCAGACGTCGTCTGGGGACCATGTTTTGACTGACTATGTTTGGCTATGCGTGGATATTGTTCAACCACTTTCAGCTTGTCTTGGAAAACCCGCCTGTAGGGGGGACATGCCCGACCCAATGTTACCTCATCCCACACCTCTACCCAGGACGCTGGGAGGCGGGACGCGCGTGCCCGCGGGCCCCCCTTCTTGGAGGGGAGGGCGAGGGGTTGCGGAGGGGATCGCCCGCCCGGGCAGCGGCCAAGGCCCGGCCCATGGAGCGGCGCGTCCCGAGCCGTGGCGTCGGCTTCTGCTGGCATGTGGCTCTGCGCCCGTCGCACGCGCAGTCCTGCACTTCTCCTGTGCGGGTCGTGTGCGGCGGGCCCCCTCTCCCACACGACTTGGTGCACTCGCCCGAGCCGGGCACCGCCTCTCGAGGCGTTGGGCGCCGCCGCGCGGCGCCACGACCGTTCAGTCAGCGCGCGCGTCGCAAGAAAAGGCTGTGTGCAGCGACATGCTCTGAAACGGCAGACAGTTCACGGTCGAGGGACGGGAGAGTCCGGGTGCACGCCTTCCCCTCCTTCGCCTCAGGCGTACTGCGACAAGGAGCTCGGAGAGACCCTCTCCAAGAAAGACCAGAAGGATTTATCGGGCGACTCATTTGTATCATCCTGGCGGTGGCACAGTTGCACATGGAAGAGCCGAACAGGCTGACCGATTCATTGGTAGTGGTTTCGTCATCTTCCATAGTCTACCATCTGGTCCACGTGGTTTGGCTTGCTTGGTTCCGGAACAATCAAGTAACACACATGTAGCACATCGACTCATCTTGGGGCTGTGTAGGACCGATTGCATATTGCATTGGGTGGTTTCGATAGTGTCATACGCCCGAGCAAGGGGATGACACTGTGCGAATTAAGCCGGCAGCAGCAGGAGAATGATACGCCCAGCGCGACCGATGCAGATAGACCAAATTCAACCGATCGCTCGAGAGGCGAAGGTAGCCAAACTATGCAAGAGGTTTCTATAGCACCATGGCGCGCTACATCGGGCAATCGTCGTTTAAGTAATTGCACTCCGTATTGTTGTGTGTAGTGGATGCGCATATTCAATAGCCATGAGCCGCGTGCTCCACGAATGCGGAAATATGCCAGGTCCATATGTTGAGGATATCGTGATGACCAGGTCACGCGTGCAAGATTACTGCAATGGGTTCTGTTGGAAGAAATTACGCCGTTGACGCTCATGGTTTCCAGTTGTAACTTGCTTTTATTTCTCCAGCGCCAGTGAATGGGAGATACCACGCACGTATCCATCATCTTGCGGTGAGGACCTAGGGGCACCAGGATTCCGCGACTGATTTCAATGTCGCGTGTCGAAACGTGTGAAGCAGTGAGGATCGAAATCGACCAGACAGCACCTCCCCGACCACAACCTGTCTGACGGTTCAAACTCGCAGTCCTCTCCAGTCCGCGTCCCACAGCACAGTTTGTTCAGGGCGGTATGGGACAGTTAGTCCCCGTGAGGCAAAACTCCACAACGCACGTCGTTATATATTGCGTCATCTGGATTGTGATGTACTGTAGTATAAGCATGTGTACACATCATATATAATGTGCACATGTATACTTATACATATATAAATACATATATATATATACATGTGTATCTATGTATATAGGTGTGCGTGGTGTAAGCGGGTGGGAATTTAAGTGTAAGTGCAAGTGCAAGTGTACATGCAAGAGTAAGGGTAATTGCACGTGTGCGTTTAAGTGTGGGTGTGTGGGTGTGTGGGCGCGTGGCTGTGTGTGAATGTGTGCGAACGAGTGTGAATGTGTATGTGTGCGTCTGGGAGAAAATGTGTATGTGGATGTGTATGTGTGTGTGCGTGTGTGTTTGTGCGCGTGTGTTGATTATTGGACCGTCGCCGTAGTAATCCAGGGGGCCCAAGAGGATTGCAGGGTGATTTTCGGACGCAGGTTTGACCCCTCTTGGGGGCTGTTTTGACGTCTCGTGGGAAGTTGTTTGGGCCTCGTGGGGAGCTGGGTCTTGTTGGGGGCCTCGGTTGGGGTCCTTGGTGCCTCTGGGGGGCCGTTTTTGGACCCCCTTGGGCCGTTTTGTGCGTCTCTTGGGCAGTCTTGTGGCCCTGTTGGGCTGTCGTGGGAGCCTCTTGAGTGCCTCTTGGGCCGTCTTGGGGCGATCTGGGTGCGTCTTAGGCCGTCTTGGAGCGTCGGGAGGGCGAGAAGTTGTTGATGCGAAAAATTAGCGCTTTACGAAAGGACTTTGGCGATGTTGGCCTCTTGGTTCCGTGGGAGGCCTCTTGGGGTGCCTTGGGGCGAAACGGGGGCCTCTGGGATTGTTTTGGGGACATCGCGAGCGGCTTGTAGCCCTCTTGGCCCAGCTTGGGGCCATCTGGAAGCCACTAGGAACCGTCTTGGGCCCTCCAGGTGCGCTCGGGACCCAACGGCCTCCAGCGGGACGCAGGTCTATCCGGATGAGTTTTCCATGTAAGTAAGTACCAATTGGTTTAGTACAAATAGGTACAGGCATATACACAATTGGCACGTGCGTGTCCAGGGTCATACAACAAACAATGGGGACCACCGATATGGCTGCCACAGATTACGATTATATGGGTGGTTGAGAAAGCACTCTTTTGGGCTTGAAAGAACAGAGGTTCGCGCAAAGATGGAGAACTGCACTGGGAGCCGCATGACAGTATTTTCGTGTGTACAGCTATGTGCAAGCTCATTGCCGTGTTTTCGATGAGCTTCTGGGAAAATGCTGAAGAAGTGCACAAGGAACCATTGAACTATCTACTGGTGTCATACTCACACTTGTGTGCAAACTCATTGGTGTACATCCTGATGTGTGAAGGGTACTGTGTTAACATGATGAAGGTAAGTTGTGGTGTTTGACCCTGACGTCGCGATCTACGCGAGTTGTGCGCCCAGCGTTCAGAGGTGAGGGGATGTCCCGACCAAAGCTTCCAAATAAGGTGCGGTCGCCTTCACCAAGAAGCGCATCTGAGCTCTATTCATTTGGAGGGGTGCGTATGGCAAATCATAAACCATAAATATGTATGTAAATGTGTAGATTACACGTCTCTCTCTCTCTACATATGTATACACACACGTATATATAGGTATGTGTATATGGATGTATGGGGGTCTCCGCACGCACCATGAACCCCCTTTGTCTCTTGGAATATGCCAAGAGAAAAGGGGGGCGGAAGGCGGGCGCGGCAACCGTAAAGGAAGAAGTGGCACATAATGGTTGGTTGCGTGATGGAGAAAAAATGTTGAGTGTCGGGTGGTGTGTTGGAGACGGAGGGTGTTGAGTACTGGATGGTGTGTTGGAGACGAAGGGACTTGAGTAAAAGGTTATGTTCAAGTTCAGCTTGGGGAGGGAGCCTGTTGAGTATCGGGTGCTGTGCGGGAGACGGAGGGTGTTGAGTATTGGATGGTGTGTTGGAGACGGGGGGAGTTGAGTAAAAGGTTATTTTCAAGGTCAGCTTGGGGAGGGAGCCTGTTGAGTATCGGGTGCTGTGTTGGGGGCGGAAGGTGTTGAGTACTGGATGGTGTGCTGGAGACGGAGGAAGTTGAGTAAAAGGTTGTGTCCAAGTTCAGCTTTGGGAGGGAGCCTGTTGAGTATCGGGTGCCGTGCTGGACACGGAGGGTGTTGAGTACTGGATGGCGTGCTGGAGTCGAAGGGATTTGAGTAAAAGGTTATTTTCAAGTTCAGCTTGGGGAGGGAGCCTGTTGAGTATCGGGTGCTGTGTTGGGGACGGAGGGTGTTGAGTACTGGATGTTGCCTTGGGCCAACTGGAGGAAACAGAGGCGCGACGGACGCGTTTTGAGATCCTTCCCGGGACCCCCGCGGGACGGGCCGAAGCCCCAGGGGGAGCTCTTTTGGAAAAAGAACCAAAACCAAAACCGAGAGGGTTTAACACGCCAGGCACTCCTTTGATAAATCAAAAGGGGGCGGCGGATAGTGGCCTTCGGCCCATCCCGCCACCGTGCCTGGGTTGAGGCATATTGGATGTTCGTTTGGACATCCTGGGAGGCCCCTCGGGGGCCTCTTGGAGGCAGTTTTGAAGCCTCTTGGGGGGCGTTTAGGTGCCTCTTGGGGCATCGTTTTGGGCCTTTGGGGGGCGTCGTGGGGCCTCTCTTGGGGGCCGTTGGGGGCCCCCTTGGGGCCTCTTGGGGCGGAAGGCTCGAATTGTCGGTTCGTGTTCGCCCTCTTGGGCCCCTCCTGGAGCTGTATTGGGGCCCTCTTGGGCGATCTTGGGCGCCTCTTGGGGGCCCCTTGGGCCATCTTGGGGCGATCATTGGGCCATCTTGGAGCGTCGGAAGCCCGAACACGCGAGAACGCGAACCACATCGAAAAACACAAGGACATTCGATGATGTGTGCCTCTTTGGGCCTTCTTGGGGGTCTTCTTGGAGCGCTCGTGGGGCTTCTTTGGGGCCTCCTGGGCCGTCTTGGGTGCCATCTTGGGCGTCTTGGAGCGCGCTTCGGCTGCCTTGGAGGCCTCATGGACCCTCTTGGGCGCTTTCTGGGGCCCCCTTGGCCCGTCTTGGGGCCCTCTGGCTTCTGGACAGGTCAGGCGGGGCGGCCTAAGAGCGCGCGGGAACGCCCAGGAAATTTGGGACGTTGGGGGCCCAGCCCTTCGAATACTCCAATCCCAGAGTCCTGAGTGCAGGGGACAGAGGGCGCACGAGGACCAGGAGAAAACTCCATGTCGCACTTCTCGGCACGATGGCAGACATGCACATACACACATATATACATATACATTTACATACATACATACATATATATATATAGACAGAGACATACATGCACATGCATGCATACATACATACACATACGCACAGATACGCACATACATGAATACGTAAGTACACACATACATACATACATGCATGTAAACCTATGAATAAACACGAACGTACACACAACCATGCAGACATGCACGCATGCACACATACATGCCTAGATGCATACATATGTAACTATAGGCGTGTGTAAATACATTAAGGTAGTTAACCAAATGTGCGAGCGTACCTACACAATCGTACACCAATACATGTACGTATCCATAGATATAGACATATGCAGATACATGTGTAAACACAGCTACAACTATACGTACACATGTACCTACACAAATACATGTACGTTTACGTGTGTGTGTATATATACATATATGTATATATGTATAATGGGCACACCCCCCTCCGAGCGTCCATTCCTACCAGCATTCAAGTACGATGGTGGTGCTCGTCCTTTCCTCGTTATACTCCTCGTAGGTATTTCTCTTCCTTTCTTTATTTGTTTTCTCTCTCTCTCTCTTTCTCTCTCGCTCTCTCTGCCTCTCTCTCTCTCTCGTCATCGGTGTCTGGCTGCGGGGACGGGGGACGCCTCGTTTCCCGCAAGCCGCTTAGCGGCCTAGCCCTTGTCCCCTGGCCGCCAAACGGGGCTTTTCCGACCTGGGCCTTTTCCGCCCCGGGGCGCCGAGAGACGCAGCGAATCGCTTACCCTAGTCGCTTTGCGCCAGGGGATTGGTTGTTTCAACGCCCCCCGTACCCCAAGATGGGCACCACCGCTACGCGTGCAATGGCGGCCTCGGCTACCGCAGAAGCCGGCTGTCGACGGGACTCCCGTCTGCTTGTCCGAGCTCTCTCTCTGTCCCTCTGTCTCTCTCTCTCTCTGTCTTTGCCTCTCCCTCTCTCTCGTTCTCTCCTGTTTTCCTTCTCTCTCTCTCTCTGCTTCTCTCTCTCTCTCTCTCGCTCTCTCTCTCTCTCGCTGGCTCCCTCGCTCTCTCTCTCTCTCTCTCTCTCTCTCTCTTCCCCCTCTCTCTCTCTTTCTCTCTTTCGCTCTCTCTCTCTCTCTCTCTCTCTCTCTCTCTCTCTTTCTCTCTTCCCCAGACGCCCAGCACAATCCCTGTGGAAAAACATGGCTTGCAAAGTCAGGGGTGCAAAAACGTTTTGTTTGCTTTGGAATGTTTGGGATTTCTGGGATGGGAAGTCAGGAAACCATGTGCTTTCATTTGGGTGCTTACGATTTGGGTTGATTTTTCTTGCCCCAGCGAACATCCAAACCAGGAGCCCTCCCAGGAGCCCCGACCCACAGAATCCCAAACATCCCAAACATCCACATAAACACACATGGTTGCCTCACCCTTCATCCCAGAAATCTAAAACATTCATATGAAAATGCAGGGTTTGCGGTGCCAGGGTTGCGGAAACCCGGTGTTTTCATAGGGGGTGTTTGGGATTTCTGGTATTAGCAGTGAGAGAGCCATGCGTTGTCATTTGAATGTTTTGGGTTTGGGGGCCCCCCCTCCCGCCCCAGCCGAAATCCAACGCAGGAGCCCTCCCAGGAACTCCGATTCCCAGAGCCCCAGACAAACCAAACTGCATGAAAACATGATCCGTGCATTTCTCATCCCAGGAGTATGAAAAATCCACATGGCAACAAACTGTTTGCGCATCCCTGACAACGCAAACCGCGTGCTTTCATTTAGGTGTTTGGGCTGTCTGCGATGGGAAATGAGGAAACCAGGCGTTTCATTTAGATGTTCCGAACGTTTGGGGGTTCTGGCGATCGGAGTTCCTGAGATGATTCCTGGGTTTGATTTTCGCTGGAGACCGGGGGGGGAACCTACAAAATCACAAACATCCGCATGACAACACCTGGTTTCCTCATGTCTCCTCCCAGAAATCGCGAACATCCACATGACAACAATGGGTTTCCGCACCCCTGACATCGTAAGCCGTGTGCTTCCACATGGACCGTGCTGGGTGTCTGGGAGAGGGCGAAAGAGAGATAGAGAGAGAAGGAGAGAAAGAGAGAGAGAGAGAGAAAGAGAGACAACGACAGAGAGAGAGAGAGAGAGAGCGAGAGAGAGAAAGAGAGTGAGGGAAAAAGAGCGAGAGAGAAGAACCATACAACCAAACGAATGAGAGAGAGAGGAACAAAAAACAGAGAGGCACATTCCAGATCCAGCTGATTACAATTAGAGTACGAGTGGAACACAATTGAAATCTCATTGGGGTGGAGCGGAAACCAGATTCAGCTGATTACGATAAGATTCTTATTCGGACCGAAGGCGCCCGAATGAGAGTTTAGCAGATCCCACACAGAGGTGATTCACAATGGATGTATACGGGATCCTACTCAGAATCGCATTGAAGTTGTGCTGATCCCAGATCCAGCTGAACCCAACTTAGATTCCCATTGATATATACTTGGGATCGAAGTCGAGTTGGGCAGATCACAGATCCAGCTGATTCCATATAGGTTTCTAGCAGCGTCCGGTTAGAGTCTACTTGGGGTGGAGCATGTCTCATATCCAGGAGATTCAAAGTACATTTCTATTGGAACCGAATCGACATCGAACTGAAGTGGAACAGATCTCCAGCTGAATCTAACGTGATGTCAACTGACATGGATTTTAGCTTTAATTGGATGTGGGCACATCCCAGACCCAGCTGAGTCCACGTGGGATCCCAGTTGTAATCGAATTCGAATCTAATTTGAAATGAGCAGACCCCAGGTCCAGCTGACTCAAAGTATATGCCTATTGAACTGGAGACCCCAGACCCAGCCGATTCAAATTGGATTCCTAGTGGGGCCAAGTTAACATCTAAGTCGAATTGGACACGTCACAGACCCAGCCGATTCCAATTGGATGCCACTTGGAATATGTTTAAGTATAGTTGGGGTGAGCAGGTCCCAGACACAGCCGATTCCAAGTAGATTCCTCTTGGGTTCGAATTTTCATTGGAATTGGAATTGAGCAGATCCCAGCGCCAGCTGGTTTCTGCTGGAGTCTTATCAGAATCGAATCAGCATCTACATAACGATAATTTAGCTCATCACAAATCCAGCTGGTTCCATCTAGACCCCAGCACTAGAAAACAGCGGATAAATGACGAATTGAACGACGAATCGGAAAATGGATTAGCAGGCGCGGATGAAAAGAAGGCGCAGTAAGACTACAAATGGAGAGCTCCAAGACCGATGCAAAATGATTGGGTGTTGGGGGAAGGGGCTGGCATATGTGTTACATATACATAACATACACAGATTTACATACATGTGTATATGTGTGTTTATATACGTATTACTGGTATTCGGCGCATCTCGCCACCGTGCCTGGGTTGTGGTTTGAGGTCTCTTGGATGTTCGTTGGTATATCGTGGGGGGGGGGGGGTACCTCTCGGAAGTCTCTCGGAGGCAGTTACGAGGCCTCCTGGGGGCTGCCCCAAGCAGCGCGCAGACGGTACAAGTTGTTGGCAATCCGCCGGCTCTCATGTGGCAGAGATTCTGTCCTTGCGGCGATCTGGCGAGACATCTGAGCTCAAGGCCACTGCGAAAGACAAAAGCGAAGGAGGAGACGGACGATGAGGGACGTCCTCCGCTTCATTTCGCGTGGGCCATCGCTCGCCCGGTCACGGCAGGAGCAAGAAATTGACAAGCTGACCTCGCAGATCGATTCTGACACCGCGAGGCGCCGGGCTCAGTGGCAGTGGTGGCCTCTCCCCCCAACGCGCGTCGCTGCCACGCGTCTCCCATGGCGGCCCGACTTGCGGTTCCCGATCCTATCGCTCCTGGCCCCCCAGCCTCTCCCACCCGCTGTGGTGGCGCGCACAGGGTGGTGGCACGAGTGGGGGTGCCTCCTGAGAAGTCGAGAGGGCTTCTCACGAGGTTCGGGCCTTGGCGGCGCGCTCAAGGTGGTGGCACGAGTGGGGGTGCGTCCTATAAGAAGTCGAGACGGCTTCTCAACAGGCCCAGGCCTTCCCAGAAGGGGGCCCCGGGGCTTCTATAATTTTAAGATAAGTCAGAGTCCCAAAGTATCAGGGGAAACTCGGGTCAGCGCCGACGCATCGGCGATGTGGCGCGATCATCATCATCATCATCATCATCATCATCATCATCATCATCATCATCATCATCATCATCATCATCATCATCGTCATCGTCATCGTCATCGTCATCGTCATCGTCATCGTCATCATCATCATCATCATCATCATCATCATCATGATCATGATCATGATCATGATCATGATCATGATCATGATCAGCAGCATCAGCATCATCAGCATCATCATCATGATCAGCAGCATCAGCATCACATCACCATCATCACATCATCATCACATCATCAGCATCACCATCATCACATCATCATCATCATCATCATCAGCATCATCATCATCATCATCATCGGCATCAGCATCAGCATCAGCATCAGCACCAGCATCATCATCATCATCATCATCATCATCATCATAATCATCATCATAATCATCATCATCATCATCATCATCATCATCATCATCTTCATCTTCATCATCACATCATCAACAACACCATCACCAGCGACACCATCTGCTCGGACCCCCATAATCAGATGGGGGGGTTCTTGTGGAAGGTGTCTTGTGGAAGGTGTCTTGAGGTCGAGCTCCTGCTGTATGCCGCCCCCCCCCCGCTGTGGCGAGAACGCGACGTCCGACGTTCTGCCAGGCGGTGCCGCTGGCCGCGGGGCCGGAGTCGTCTTGCTGCTCCCTCCCCCAGGCCTCCCTCCGCTCGCTCCCTCCCGCAGGTGGCCCGCTGCTTAGCTCTATGCCTCGTGCCTCCTGTCCTCCGGGCCGTCACGCCCCGGAGGGGGAGGGCGGGGGGAGGAGAGGGAGGAAGCGGAGGAGGAGGAGGAGGAGGAGGAGGAGGAGGAGGAGGAGGAGGAGGAGCGGAGGGTGCGATGGGGACGGGGACGGGGACGGTGTGACGGAGGGGGAAGGCATGTGCAATCGCGGCCACGCGGGAGCCCCACCCCGGCGGGCGGAGCGCCGCGGGGGCGCCAAGAGGTGCCGGCGGCCTGCTGGTGCACCGAGAGGACTTCCATAGGGAGGTCGTCGGGCCCCCCCCCCAGAGCCAGACGGAGGCCCGCAGGGGGCGCTCCCGGATTGTGGTACACAAGCAGCCTCGCGCTGGGCCCCCCCGCGCCTCCCACGGAAGCCCCACTGCACCAAGCATCCTCCTTGGGCGCCCGCCCCGCGCCCCACTGCGCTCCTCTCTCTCTCCTGTCCTCCTGCGCCTTGGCTCCCCCCCCCCGCCTTTTGTTCCTCCGTCCCGCGGCAGCAGATTTGGTGCTGCCCCCCGCACACGTGCGGGCGCTCCTTGGCCTGTGCGGCGTGCGCTGCTCGCGTGCCTGCTGGGCAGGCGGCGCTCCTTCTTCGCGCCCCGCGCGGAGCAGTCCCGTCCCATCGCCCCATGGATGGGCTCATTGGGTCCACTGGGAGGCCGGAGAGGGGCCGGAGGCAAGGTAGGAGCGCAGGCGTCATATCTGACGTCCTACCCCTCCCTTCCATCCCTGGCCACTGCGTAGGTCGCCTCTCTGTTCCCACAGTCGGGTGTCGAACAGCGCAATGATCCCGAGAGAGTACGCGATGCAAGGCATAGCTCGGCATAGCATGGCATCGCGTCGAGAACGCGGCTTACTTCGACAGCAAGGTCTGAGGGAAACCAGAGATGCCACAGGACGGGAAAGGCATGCGGACGTTTCGGGAAGGGGAAAGCGCAAAATGAGATCAGCGTTGCAGCGGGAGCACGATTTCGAAGGACCGAAATCGTGGAAATCAGACCAGCGCTGCAGTGGGAGCACGATTTGGAAGGAATTGAAGCGCGGAAGCGAATCCAACGCTGAAGCAGGAGCACGATTTGGAAGAGCCGAAACAGTAAAATGAGGTTAGCGCCTCAGCAGGAACGTGATGCGGAAGAACTGAGAACGGGAAGATGGAGCCAACGCTGTAGCGGGAGCGCCATCCTGGAAGGATTGGACATGTCCGGACTGGAAGAAATAATTGTGAATTATCAGTTCGGCGGCATCCTGTGTGTAACAAGCAGTACGCGGAGGAGGCCAGGACACCTCACCGCCGTCTTCGGGGGAGAGAGAGGCGAGGAGTGTTCGTTGTTGTGTAGCTATGCGAGGCGACGGGCAGAGGAGTGAAGACGAGGAGGGGGGCGAGGAGAGGCAGGAGGGCGGCGGAGGAGGCGGCACGAGGCTCCTGGGCGCTGCCCCTGGTGCGCGCTGCGGCCTCGGGTGAAGGCGGGCGGCTGCGGCTGCTGCGGGCTCCGCCCGATGCCTGGAGGAGGAGGAGGAGAAGGAGGAGGAGGAGGAGGAGGAGGAGGAGGAGGAGGAGGAGGAGGAGGAGGGGGGGGAGGAGGAGGAGGAGGAGGAGGAGGAGGAGGAGGTATTCTTGGGCCTCCTGGGTGGCCCTCGTCGCCACCGCTCGGGTTGACCCACAAGGGGCTCCAGCGACAAGGGGGTGGTGCAACAGATTTGGTGCAGTAGATCTGTGGGGCTGCAATGCATTTTGGGGCGTGCAATACCTTCCGGGGCGCAGATGTAGTGCTGGATTCTCGCGTGCAACACATCCCTGATGGTCCGCTACCGAAAATTTCCGGTAGCGCTCCGCAGAGATCGGTCGCTACCGAAATACCGAAATGTAGCGCCCAATACCGGTATCAGACCGTTCTGAAACCCGCTATTTCAACGCCCTCAAACGAAGATCCGGTCGCTACCGAAATTCGGGGTGCGTCGAAATCGCTACCGAAAATTTCCGGTACCAGACCATCTGGGATTGCTTGGGATACAATGCAGTACGCTTCTCCGGCGCCGTACGTTTGCAGCGCAATTGCCCCACATCTGCTGCACACCCTCCTTTCAGCTGCACCGCTTTTTTGGGTTCGACCAACACCGCTGCATTCGCCTCGCGCTCCTGCTCCGAACGCACCCCCGGGAGAGAGGCCCCCGGGGAGCAGCGGCATGTCGGTATACCTCTTGCTCTCCCCGGCTGCGGAGCGGAGTGCGGCGCTGCCCGGCTCGGGCCGGGCGAAAGGGGGGGATTGGGAAAGGGGGGGTTACGAAATTTGCTGCATGCAGCTGGTTTCGGCCCCGCCGAGGGGCCCATTCCTCGATACATAGCCGCCTCCGGCGCCGGGAGGCGCCGGGAAAATCAGCTACGTGAGCTGATTCTCAACCCCCCCCTTTGCTATCCCCCCCTTTCGCCCGACCCGACCGGCAGAGGTCGCAGCAGCTGAAGGAGCAGGTGGCGACGCTGCAGGAGGCAGACACGCAGACCGCCGGCCGGCCGGCCGCCGCCGCCCGCCGATCGACTTCTGGCTGCGCTCCCACGCCAGAGCGTCTCGCTGCTCACCTCTTGCCCGGACGGGCGATGCCCATCGGTCGTTGAAAGTAGGTATTTTTGGATTCCCAGTGCCCAGTCTGCTTTCGCCGCCGTCCTACTTCAAGAGTCGACTGGTTTTCCCTCTTCTTCCCTTCTGTCCAGGAGGCGGGCGGAAACCCAATCTACTCCCAACGCCTTCCTGAGTCATGGTTCTACCTACTCCTTCCGGCCGATGAGGAAGGGTCCATCCGTTCGCAATGTGTCCAGTGATGTGGAAGATGCCGTTGGACGCTAGCAGCAGGCGCGAGTCTGCATCGCGGGCTCTCGGGGCAAGAAAAAGCGCCGCTCCAACGGCGGCCCCCGCACACGCGGGCACGCGCAGGCGGCTCTCTTAGCAGATCAGGCAGGAGATGCCCTGCGGAAATCGCTGCCGAGTGTCGGGCTCGAGCCGCGGGGGCGCACGGGGTTCAGCCGGCACTGACTAGTAGGTCGATCCTGCCAAATCAGTGGTAAGTACCCATGTGCCCTGTGTCTCGCGACCCATGCCTCCCACATTCCTCTTGCAATGTGGCGCTCGGAGGGGTATTGTGTCCTCTCGCGTGTCCTGTCCAATCAAAAGTCCAACTGTGCGATCGAAATGCCGGATGACCCTTCGCCCCGCCTCCCCCGTCATCTATCCTATGGAGGAAAACTCCCGGGAAGGCTTGTCCAAGGGGGGGTTGTTCAGCAGGGTGGTCCGGATCCCCGGCGGGTTACCCACATTGGATTGTCAGGGGTATGCCGTCTTGTCGTCATTAACCAGCATGGGCTGTCCAGATTATATTGGGGGGTTGTCTGGGAATTTTGTTAGCACCGGATCATTGTTCCATGGAACATAGTCCACATCGGGTTTCTCTTCGTGTTCGTCTCTCCTCCTCCTCCTCGTCCTTCTCCCCTAACTCCTCCTCCTCCTCCTCCTCATCATCCTCATCCTCATCCTCATCCTCATCCTCATCCTCCCTCCTCCCTCCTCCCTCCTCCCTCCTCCTCATCATCAGCAGAATCAGCATTATCAGCATCAGCATCATCATCATCATCATCAGCAGCAGCAGCATCATCATCATCATCATAGTCATAATCAGAATAATAATAATAATAATAGTCATCATCATCATCATCATCATCATCATCATCATCATCATCATCATCATCGGAATCATTATCAACATCATCATCATCATCATCATCATCATCATCATCATCATCATCATCATCATCATCATCATCATCATCATCCCACGATGTCGTTTCTGCGGGTTGCCTCCTGCCCCCCCGCGCCCTTCCGGCGTCCTTGCTCCTCCTCCTTGTCCTTCTCCTCCTCCTCCTCCTCCTCCTCCTCTGGTACGCTGGGCTCCTCCTCCTCCTCCTCGTGGTGTTTCGCCAGCCTTGTGTGGCATGCTCTCGCCAAGCACGGTACTCAGAGCATAGTTGAGAATTGGCGGAGGACGTACGCATGAGGTTTAGGCATACGCCCGATCGGCCAGTTCCCGACTCCGACCAGCCGAATGAGTTCCTTCTCCTCCTCTTCCTCCTCCTCCTCCTCCTCCTCCTCCTCCTCCTCCACCGCCTTCTCCCCGCCCTTTCGTCCTCAAGGAGGCATCCATGCACCATGTGCCAGCCGATTTGGGCCCGCACAGGGGATAAGCGAAGCGCGCCGAAGCACACCGTGTTCTGACAGATCCTGGCGGCCCAAACGCTCTCTTCGGGCGCTCTCTGGGCTCCTCCCTCGTGGGCCGCCCGTGCGCTTGCTGGGGCCTCCCCGGGTCGCCCTGGAGGCTCAGTCGAGCATATGATTTAGAAACCTTCTCCCGCAGCGCCGAGCCAACGTTTCCTGACCGACCTGCCGGAAAGCTGGCCCAGCTTCTCGAGCACGTTCGCCCTCCCAGCGCTGACGGCAGCGATTCACCCAGGCCTGTTTGACGAAGCTTCCGGAAGGCTGCCCCAGACATCTCACACGATAGCTGGTCGCATGTTCGGCTGTAGGTGCAGCCTCTCTGGACGGTGGGTCAATTCGCTCTAATGGCACCCCCGTTTAGGCCTTTCCGCTGGCGCCTTTCGACCTCTGCCTAGCCGCCGACGCACAAATGAGGTACAGACCTGGGACGGCGCGGGCCCGTCCAGAGAGCCCCACCCACCAAACTACCCCAACCCAACCCGAAGGCTCAGAGTTACCCTCGATTTCTAGTGGGGGGGGTCCGGGAACGTCGAAAAACCACATACGGAGCCCATACCCCCCCCAACCCGAAATTCGGGTCTTCGGGTTGGGGTTGGGGTGGTCTGGTAGGTAGTCCAGAGAGCCCCGGGGTGCCCCCGCGCAGGCCCAGGCCTGCCCCGCGCCCCGGCGGGCCCTCTCCCGCCCGATGTTTTGCGCAGGTCGGCACTTCCCAGTGGGGCGGGTGCGAGGGGAGGGGAGAGGCCGGCGATCGTCGGAACACATGAAGAAATCTTTTGGAGCGAGAAACAAAAAAAACGAAAAAACACGTTTTTCTGTTTTTATCCAACGTTCCTCCAAGTGTTTTGATAGTAATACTGCACCTACGGACTTGAGAATTTGACTGGCAGACGCGGCATAACCCACTATAGGTGCGAAAAATCTGGTTTCTCAAAATGAATGGTCAAATATCTTGTTTGCGCCTGTCTGTCTCATCGCCTTGTGCCGCGGACTGGGCTACTCTCGCCCTCATGGGCTGCCACTATTCGCCTACATCGCTGCTTGACGTGTGCCGCACCCGTCCGCGGCCTTTGTTCTTACCGCACCTCCAAGTCGTTTATATATACGTACAAACGTATACACAAACATATGTATATACAGATGTATATAGATACATATATGTACATATTTATGTATGCATATTGCACTCATGCACGCTCCAGGCTGCCGCCTCTTTCTGGTCTGACGTGAAAAACGTCCAACACGCTGGCGACCACCAGAGGTCGGCGAACTTGTTTGAAATTCTTTCGGCATAGCTTGCGCCGCGTTGCGACACAGGCGCTTTGCTACGCCCTGCTTTGCGTTGAATTGGTTTGTGCTGCACGTTTTGCTAGAGTGTGGTGCATGACTTTGCCTTGCATTTCAATACATGTATTTGCTTTGCAAAGCCTTGCGTTACCTTGCGCTACATTGCCGCGTATCGGTACAAAGTGCATGTGCATTGAATTGGACTGCTTTTCAGAGGGGGTGGGCTCTAGAGGAACGGAGGGGTGGAGGGGGGCAATCTTTCAGAATTGTGGGAGCACTATCAATGAGCCCAGCCTGGGGATCCCATGGCGACCAACACTCATGTTCAATATCATCTCAGCCCGACTCCGATGATGTTCAAGGCTTGACACTGACTTCAGCACAGCCAGCAGTTGCACTCATTCGACCAAAGTCAGGTTGAACCCATATTGAAAATATGATCCAAGATAGCTTGATTATCAGAGCCAGCTGAAGCCAAGTTGACCAGGGACGAGTTGCCACATGCTATTGCGTTGTATTGCGTTGTAGTTCGTCTCTTGGTTCGGTGTGATTTGTTTTCCGTAGCGCCTGTCTCTTCATAGTGTCTTGCTTCACCCTCTTGAGCACGGCATACTGCGCCGATCCGAAATTTCCCCCAAGTTCGCCACCGCGCTCGCCGCGGCCATTTGTGGTGGCGCGCGCAGGATAAGACCCGCGGGGCCCGACGGCGGACGGGGGCGATGTCGCGAGGGCAGAGCCGGCGCGCCGATGGTCAGCCCAGCACCCCGTTTGGCCGGAGGGGCCCAGTACAATGCAAGGGCAGAGCCTAAGCCCCGCCTGGGTTCGCGGGATCGGGTTCCCCTTTCCAATTTAAAAATTTTTGAATCCCAAACGGTGTATTGACCCGAAAACGGTGTATTGACCCGAAAATGAGCAAACGGCGGAGGGCTTCCTCGAAAAAAGCTTTCGGATTCGGTCATACGGCGACACGAAAAGTTTACCGGCCGACCTGAAAGCGGCCAAATGCCATAGGACTTGCGCAGGGAAAAAAATCGGGTCCGGCTCGAACGACCCGAAAATGCGCAAGCCGCCTAGGACTCCTTGCAGAAACATTATTCTCGAGGTCTTCGGGCCCACTCCGAAGAAACCGAGCATGGGCAAACCGCTTAGAACTTCCTATCAAAATCGGTTTCTCGGTGGTTCCAGGCCTCGTCCGAAGGAGCCGCCGATGGGCAGAGTGTTTAGGATTTCCTGCGCAAGAAACGGTTTCCCGGGTGAGCCATTGTCAACGGGAGCGCGCCCCGCGCGGGATCGGGGTTCGCACGGGGGCGTGGCTGCTCTCGCCTGTCCAGGGGGAACGAATTGCCGCGCCCTTCCAGTATAGCGTTTGCGCTGCATTCGCGCGGCGCCGTGCTTCTCAAATCGGAATAAATTTTCGGAGCGCCGATGTAGCGCTGCAGTGGTTGCTCAGCGCGTGTCGTCGTGCATGTTTGCCATGGTTATGCATTTTCCGGTTGAATTTTGTTCCAATGCATTGCGCCTTGGCTTGTTGATCTGGTTACCACCAGCCCCGCTTGCATAACTAGAGCAACGACACCCGATCCACCGCCAAATTGGGAAAACAACTCCCCGCAGGTTCCGCACAAAACAGAGCAGACGTGCGCAACGTTGGTCCAAAGGAAGGAGGGGAAAAAGGGAAAGAGGAGGAGGAGGAGGAGCTTCTCGAGGCCGGGGGATTGTGGAATCATCCATGCACCAGGGGAGCGTTACAAGGTTTCACCATCCCCTGCATCATTATATATATATATATATATATATATATATATATATATATATAGATGTTCCTCTCGCTCCCTCTCTCTCTCTCTCACTTTGTCATTGTATCCTCTCTGGCAAACATGGACTGCATACATGACGCGCAAGCCTTCAACGTGCACGCACGCCTGGCAGGGCCCAGCAGGGC